ATGTAATTAATTCAGAAAATCTTTTCAGGACCCCACCTTGATGTTTCGGGACCCCACTTTGGGTCCCGACCCCAACTTTGAGAAACACTGATCTACAGAATCTAATATTATTATAACAAAAATTATATACACAAAAAGGTAAAAATGAAATATTTTTAAATTGTCAGTTACAGTTTTTGTTATTTTACATAAGGATAGTGTTGTAGTACTTGAAACTGGTCTTTGTCTTAAGAATGGTCTCAAGACCACTTTTTGATGGTCTTGGTCTTGTCTCGATCTCGGATATTGAGGACTCGGAATTTTATTTCAAGACCAGTCAAGACCACAACTGTGGAAATATCACTAAATAAACAGATTATTGTCCAATTTATTTGTTAACTTTCTTGCTTTCATTGGATTTAAAAATGTATCTACTGATTCAAATCCAAACCTGACTCATTGGTATTTATGTATTTTTATTACTGGCTGTCACATACCCCCCATCTCTTCACTCACATGCAGCACTCCAGGAAAGTAAGCAGTGGTTCTCTGGGAGCGGTAAAAGATGTCTTCAAATTTTTAAGTAAAAATTTTGGCTGCATTATTCATAAATAATATCATTGTAAAAAAAAAACCCAACAACAACCATGAGAAAGCGTACAGCAACTTGTACATTCGGCAATGCTTTACTTTCAGAGACAATGGGAACAACTTTAAACTTGTATCATCACTAACGTTAATCTGCCTCTGTAGCAAAATTTTTTCCTCTGCCCTCAAACAAAGATTTTGTCAATATTAGCTCTACATATTAAGTTAGCTAAAGTGGGGAGAAAAAATATTTAGTCAGCACCAATTGTTCAAGTTCTCCCACCTAAAACGATGAGAGAGGCCTGTGATTGACATAGTTAGACCTCAACTATGAGAGACTAAATACTTTCCCCCCCACTGTACATGTGTACAGAATACTCCATCTTTTAGGACACTTTTTTTCTGGTCTTGGTCTTGTCTCGGTCTCGCCCTCCTTTGCTCTTGGTCTCGACTTGGTTCAAGCCCTAAAAGTCTTGGTCTTGTCTTGGTCTCGAGACACTGTGGTCTTGGTCTTGACTTGGTCTCGGGTTAGGTGGTCTTGACTACAACACTACATAAGGAATATAAATTTACAATCTAGATCTGTAATTTGAAGTGTGCTTTACTACAATTTACATACAGTGTACAGGAAAAATCCTAAAGTTTTAACAAGACAAGTGTGTGTGGTTACAGATCTTATTTTAGTTTAGGACTAGTTTCTACTCTGACCAAGAAAGCAGATTTTAATTATTTTGCTTTAAATAATAATTTGAATTTCAGACTCACTTTAAACCCTGTTCGATAATCTACCCCTAAAGGATCAAACTTAGGATATATTTGTGATATAAATTTATATTGTTCTTAAAGTGCCTGTGACATCAAATATTTATAATAAACTTGAATGCATTTTTGGGAAGATAACATTAATAAGAAATTGCAAAAAAATAATAAATAAATCACTGCAGATATGAACAGTTGTTGAGATATATTTGCATGTAAAGTAACAGGAAGTGATGTGTCTGGATGTGAAAAAAAACATAGATGCATTGACTAACTTTACAGAGCAGAGAAAAATCTGATGGTTCTTTAGATTATATTTAGTCATCAGAGAGATGAAGAGTCAGAGTTCAAATAATACTGTTTCAATAAACAAACTCCAGGGAGATTCCTTTCTTAAAGAGTTCCCGTTCCTATCGAAACTAAAACATTAAACTAAACAATTTAAACAACAATGTATCCCATCCTTTAATGTGGCATGATGGTTTGTCTCCATTAGAGGCGATGCCAATGGACACCGAGGTGTACGAGAGTCCTTACGCAGATCCAGATGAACTAAGGAGCTCCACAGTGGATCGCAACCAGCTCTTTCTGGAGGACGAAGAATTGGGCTCTGGGAACTTTGGCACAGTCAAAAAAGGGATCTACAGGATGAGAAAGTACGCTGCAACATATTACTGCAAACAGCCACTACAAAAATACATCAACAGGAGTGGTGAGAATAGACATTTTAGTCATTTTATTCCTAATCTGTGTGTGTTAGAACACAGAAACAGGTTGCTGTGAAAATCCTGAAGAACGATGGCAACAACCCAGCCATACGTGAGGAAATGCTGCGGGAAGCCGACGTCATGCAGCAGCTGGACAATCCTTACATTGTTCGAATGATTGGGATCTGTGACGCAGAGGACCTCATGCTGGTTATGGAACTGGCCGAGTTGGGTCCGCTTAACAAGTTCCTGCAGAAAAACAAGTATGTAACCAATAGTGCACGTTTGTGTGACAACAGAAGCATACTCTTACAAACCAGTCTGGTTTTAAATTAGAGTTCAAGTCGAAAGAACTGAACTAAATTATTAACATTTAGGTTCTAATATTAACTTGGAAGTCTGACATTTTACAAAACTGCAACAAGTCATTAAAAGATTTGATTTTTTTGATATTCTCAACACTTGCAGAGTGCGAAAGTTTGGGCAGCCTTGTTAATTTTCCTGATTTACCCTTATAAATCATTGATTGTTTGGATAAAGAAATCAGTAAAATATATTGTATAGGGGACAAACACAGTGATATTAAAGAAGTGAAATGAAGTTTATGTGATTTACAGAAAGTGTGTGACAAGATTTTGAAGGCAGGATGGACCCAAATGCAGGCAGGCAGGACTTCAAATAATTAAAGTATTTGTTAAAGAAAATAAAGAGCTGGCATGGCAGCAAACAAAATCAAAGTCAATGGCTTCAATAAATAACAAAAACCAAACCATGAGGACCAGGACTGAAAGCAGTCTGTGCATTGTTGCCCAAATCAAATTCTGGAAGTGGTCATTCAACTAGATCTGTTACAAAAGGACAACTGATATTACCAACTTTTAAAAACTGTTACRGCCAGAGGTCTTTCTTCTATGTYTATACTAAAGCATGGAATGACATTCCTCAAAACATAAAGTCCATTTCAAAACTACAGCCCTTTAAGAAGAATCTTGTCTGCCATCTGCTGGACACTTTTTGTTGTGCTCATATTTAGACGTCCTATTTTGCAAATGCTGCCTTCCTGAAATTTGGTACGCTTGTTTGTCTTTGTGTCTATGGTGTATAATGATGTGATTGTGATGCTGTATTTCTGAGTGTTTTATGTGCTGCAGAACAGGAACCTGCTGTAAAACAGCAATTATGCTGAGTCAGGCTTGATTTTTAGTAATCTTTTCCTGTTGAATCAATAAATCAAATCAAAATCAAATCAAGCAAACAGAAACAAACAATGAACGGACGAAAGTGGAGAGCATGAGAACCACTATAAGTAGCCAGAGGCTAAGTGGAGAGTGGAGACAGCTGTGATGATTAGGAGTGAAGACAGGTGAGCAGAATGATCTAGAAGTGCTGAATAATCTGAGAACTGAGATGACAAGGCATGAAACGAACACTAGAGGGAAACACAAGACAAGAACAGAAAACACACACAAAACCCCAAATCCTCACAGTGTGCAATAATTGGTTAAACAAAATTATGCAGGTGCATAAATTTGGGCACTGTTGTCATTTTATTGATTTTAAACCCTTTAGAACTAATTACTGGAACTCAAATTTGGTTTGGTAAGTTCAGTGACACTTGACCTCCATACACAGGTGACTCCAATTATGAGAAAGGGTATTTAAGGGGGGCAATTGTAAGTTTTTCTTCTCTTTGCATCATCTCTGAAGAGTGGCAGCATGGGAGTCTCAAAACAACTTTCAAATGAGCTGAAAACAAAGATAGTTCACCGTCATGGTTTAGGGGAAGGATACAGAATGCTATCTTGTTCGGCTCTGTACTTCTCTCTTCCTAGTAAGGGATGGATGTTTACAGAGCACACAATTTCCAATTAACTTCTTAGCTTAGCTTCCTGCATGGTCAGGCTGTCACACTGCATACGTCACGGCCAAATGTTAGTGATTGGGTAAAATCAGATCCAGTCGTTTTAAACTTCAACATAGTCCACTCCTCCAGCAAGAAATCGGTTCTCAATGGCTGGTGGGTCCGGTCCCTCTGTACAAAGCAAAGTGAAGAACAAGGAGCTGATTTTTACCAGGCTAGTGGATTAGCAATCTTAGCATTTTAGATTTGGCATGAAGACGTTGCAAACAATCAGATAAATTTGTTGTCCTCCTTTAGTGTTAGAGGTAAGCTCACTTTTCAAACTCACAGTTTCTCTGTTTATAGGAGCACGTCCATAAAGAACATCACAGAGCTGGTTCATCAGGTTTCCATGGGGATGAAGTACCTGGAGGAGCATAACTTTGTGCACAGAGACCTTGCTGCCAGGAACGTACTGCTAGTCACACAACACTATGCAAAGATCAGTGACTTTGGCCTCTCTAAGGCTATTGCAGAGGAGAACAACTACTACAAGGTAATTTAGCCTGAGGAACTTTGTTCAAATGTTATTACATCTAAACATAATTCATCAAATCAACTAATTACCCTTTCAGAATGGGGCTGCATTAATCACAGTGTATATGTGCATGTGTGTGTTTGTTTGACTGCACTGTTAGCAATTCAAAAGACCAAAAAGTAACTATCTACAACTAATTACCTTTTTTAGTGTCAACTTTCATTCTGCATATCTTATCCTTTTAAAACTCTCAAAATAGTTTTAAGTTTCTCACATTTTCTGTGTAACGGAAACTAAGTTTAGAAATTATTCATACCTAAAGTGACTTTGTGACTATTTTGAGAGGGAATTTGTTTTACACTTTTGTTAGACTTTTTCAAAAGTCTGACAACACAAATAAAAGGCCCTACGGGAGAAGTATGAGGTCCCAAGTCTAAATAAATGTTAAAAATTGTCACTAACTCATTTTCATTATTAGCTCCCTTTCTGAATGTTAAATCCTAGTTTAAAAATTCAACTAACATTTTATTGTGATTTAGCTCTCTCTTCTTGCATTTTGCTGATTTTTACTTAATGGTAAATTTTAATGTTAAATGTTATGCCTTAATGTTAATCCGAAATCTAAACGTGTAAATCTAAATGTAGAAGTTAAATCTTAAATATTGTTGCAAAATGTTAAAGTTTAGATTTGGAAATTTTGGAATTTGGAAGATTGTCATTGGTGCTAAGCTTTTATTGTGACATCGTCCTAAAAAAATAGCAAATGCTAACATTGATGAAGATTTCTAGTTCCTTTTATTCTGAATGGTTAAATTGAAATGTAATGGTTGTTATGTAATTACTGTTCTGCTTTTGTATCCCTGATATACTTGTCAGGTTCGGTGGCAGGTTCGGACCCAAGTGCAGACAGGCAGGCAGGCATGTTCAAAAAGTAAAAGTATTTATTAAATAATAAACAAATAAGCCGGCAGGACAGCAATGCAAAAACTTACAGAGCACAGGTAAACACGAGGAGAAGCCAAGGCGGGAGACCAAACAATGATCAGACGAGGGTGAAGAGAAGTAGAGTATATACAAGCAGAGGTGAGTGGAAATGGAAGACAGCTGAGCTAATTACAAGTGTAGACAGGTGTGAGTGGAAAGATCTGGAGAAGGGTGAAACTCAGGTAAAGAGGCAATGACACGAAGAATACACAAGAGGGAGGCATAAGGACAGCAAAAATAATCACACAAAAACCTCACAGTACCCCCCCTCAATGAATTGTCTCCAGACGATGAACACAAGCACAGGAGGGAGGTGGGGGCACAAACAAACAAAAACAGGATGGTGGGCAAAAGACAACAGAAGACACGAGTCTCGAAAAGACAGGACAAGGAGTACAGGGAAGAAAAAATAAAATCAAAAAACTAAGCAAAAACCGGCAAGAAGTCCTGGGAGGAAAAAACAAAAACAAAACAAAAAATGTCCAAATGGCCCTAGGCACATCTAATGCAGGGCAATAATTCAGGTAGACGCCCAGGGAATGAACACGGGCAAGCCAGGAACTCAGGAGGGCGACCGTGGACCTGGCCGTAGCGGAGGCGGAGCTCAGGAGGTTCTGGAGAATCCGGCTCTGGAGACTCTGGAGGGGCCTGCATTGAGAGGTCAGCTGGGGCTGCAGCTAACAAGGGGAGCCCGGCTGGGGCTGCAGCTAACAAGGGGAGCCTGGCTGGGGCTGCAGCTAACAAGGGGAGCCCGGCTGGGGCTGCAGCAGGCAAAGAGAGCCCGGCTGGGGCTGCAGCAGGTTCGTGCACCACCTCGGAGGCTGCAGAAAGCATCGATAGAAGCCTAGCTGCAGCAGGTGTTGTAGAGTTTTCAGCTGCAGCAGGCAGCAAAGACTCAGGCATGGATTCAGGCGAAGAGGAGACAGCGGGCGGCGACCCAGATGCCATGGAGGAGCCGGCAGCTGATCCATAAACCTCGAGAACTGCCGACTTGGGACTCGCCACCACAGACTGTGGAACCACCGGGACCGCCAACTCAGGATACTTGGACTCAGGATACTCTGACTCATGAGACCTGGAGGCCGGCGTCGACTCAGGAACTAGCAGACCCGGGGGCTTCTCAATACAACCCGGGTTTTCAGGATTTCAGGAACTACAGTATCAATGATGATGAGGATATAGACTAGAACTGAAGAATCATGGGATGAAGACTCTGATGCAGAGGAGACTCAAGACTCTGGTGCAGAGGAGACTCAAGACTCGGGTGCAGAGGAGACTCAAGACTCTGGTGCAGAGGAGACTCAAGACTCGGGTGCAGGAGTAGGCTGGGTCTCTGTAGGCTGGGTCTCTGTAGCTGAAACAGATGAAAACACTGATACTGGAACAGATGCAGATGATGATGGATTCTCAGATGCTGCAGTGGCTGTAGGCTCAGCAAAGACTGCAGCTTCCTCCCCTCAAGCAGCCGCTCTCCTCTGGCGGCAGCGACTGGAAGAGGTAGACGAGAGCTCGGAGGCTGCAGTGGTAACAGTGGGACTGGTGGAGCCTGCAATAAAACTGATGATCTGAGAGGCTGGAGCAAAGGTGGTTGTCTCAGCTGCAGACGGTGTGGAAACCTCAGCTGCAGACGGTGTGGAAACCTCAGCTGCAGGCAGCGAGGTTTCGGCTGCAGGCGGGATGGTGATGTCAGGAGTGGTTAATTCAACAGGGCAGGAACCGGGGGAAGCAGCCTTTCCCCTCCGACGTGGACGTCGGCGACGAGACAAGCCCGGAAAACAGGAAGACAGAACCTCCCCCTCCGACACAGGCGACACAGCGGGGCCGGAACGCATCGGCTTTGCCGGAACAGCACCCCTCGGCTCGACGGAACCGGAATACACGGGCTCCGTGTATGGTTCAGATGGTGCAAAAAGAGCCACACAGAGGAGTCTGCAGTCTGACAGGGCCTCAGAAAAAAGCTCCGACATGCCAGGGCTGGAGATCAGGTGGGGGAGCTGAGCGAACAGGTTGATGAAATCCACTGTCGCTACCCACCTGACCCACAAATCCATAAAAGGTCTCCCCGCGTCAATGAAAGCTCTGGTCCTCTCCTGGACCAGAAGCAAATTATCCAGGGACAACCCAAAAACCACTGCCTGCTGGGTCCTTAGATGGTCCGATCATTTTGTCAGGTTTGGTGGCAGGTTCGGACCCCAGTGCAGACAGGCAGGCAGGCAGGCAGGCATGTTCAAAAAGTAAAAGTATTTATTAAACAAACAAATAAGCTGGTGGGGTGGAAATGCAAAAATTTACACAGCACAGATAAACACAAAGAGAAGCCAAGGTGGGAGACCAAACAATGATCGGACGAGGGTGGAGAGAAGCAGAATATACACAAGCAGAGTTGAGTGGAAATGGAAGACAGCTGAGCTAATTACAAGTGTAGACAGGTGTGAGTGGAAAGATCTGGGGTCGGATTTATAAGGGATTGCGTGGAAACCATACTAAAAATGAACGTACGGCCAAAAGATGAAAATGGCGTACGCCAAAAATAATTCAGATTTATAAAACTGTGCGTACGCATGTTTCACCGCATTTTCCCTTTATGGATCCCAGCTGTGCCTCATAATTTGCGCACAAGGTTCCGCCTCAGGTTCTACCCTCTACACACCCACACTCAACCATAAACAGCCAATGCAAAGTACCTCATGAATGTTAAGATATGTTTAAATCAGTCAGCTGATCAATGTCAAAAGAAGTGATTGGCCGACTCAGACTCTCGCTCCGTCATGCGTCTGGAGGATGACAGGTGCTGAAAGCTGCTCACGTGAACAGATTATCTGTAATTTACACAGATTTTCCCTCTTTTTGCAGTTTTACAGAAGTTTATAGTAATCTAATGATTTTTATCAAAACTCAGCTTCAAATTTATTTTCTCTCAGAGGACGATAAAACCAATAAATAAAATAAAATAAGTCAGATAAAGTTTCCCGTCTCCAAAATGAGCGTACACATGGGTCAAAGCTGGCGTGAGAGACCGCACATTTTCACGTCAAGTTTGGATTTTATAAATCACAACCATTGCGTGAAAAGCGGCGTACGCATGTTTCTGGGCTCATATTGTGCGTACGCCAGTTTTATAAATCCGACCCCTGGAGAAGGGTGAAACTGAGGTAAAGAGGCAATGACACGAAGAATACACAAGAGGGAGGCACAAGGACAGCAAAAATAATCACACAAAAACACGAACCTCACAATACGTAATGTTTTGTTTGTTTGTTTTTGTTTTGACTCATGTTTCAATAAAGTTAAATAAAATAAATAAATACAAAAAAATCCCCAAAAGAAAAAAAAAGCATTGGTGAAGATGACATTTAAAATTTAAATTCAATGTGTTCAGTGAAAACAATATAAATGGTAGCTGTGGTCTGACACTGGCTGCAGCTGCAAGTTTGATGACTTGTAGGAAAGGGGAGTGGTGGCGCAGAGGTTAGAGAAGATGAATTTGTGGTCAGAAGGTCACCTGTTCAACTCCCCAAATCAACCTTGGGCCTTTGAGCAAGGCCTTTAACCCCTTAGCTGCTCCCTGGGTGCTGTAATTGGCAGCCCACTGTTCACATATGAGATAGGTAAAATGCAGAGAATTAATTTTTCCTTTGCAGGACGATAAAGGCTAATAAAAAAGCATTAGCAGTGTTAGTTACGTTTGCAGCATTAGCGATTACTTTTGTCGCAGGATGATGATGTCATAACACAAGCTGTTCACCAATGTCAAAGGCTGTGTTCTATTCTAAAATACTTAAATGTAAATATTAACATTTAACTGGAACATTTAAAATTTCATTTACACATTTAGATTAAAGATTAAACATTTAGGCATACAATCTAATATTTAAATTTAACATTTAGTAAAGAATTAGCAAAATGCAAGTAAGAACAGTGAGCTAAATAACAATAAAATGTTAGTGTAAGTGTTTTAACACTAAGAAAATGAGCTAAATAATGAAAATGAATTTTTTTAACATTTTATTTTACACCTTGAGCCCCATAAAGAAGCCTCTCTAAAACTTTGAGACATTTTTTCTTTAATGTTTTATTTATTTTTACTCAAACATTCATATTGCAACAATGCAATTTCTATTTGGGAATAAATAAAGTGTAGTTCGGATAACTTGGTTAATGTTTTACATAATGTCAGTACATACATTACCACAGGTGGTTTGTGGCACTTTAGCCCCGGTAGTCGGAGCCATATGAAGTTGTAAAACTACCAATATGATGTAACTTACAGCTGCTGATGGCTCATGTGTGTCTCCTCCTCCAGGCTACGGTTCATGGGAAGTGGCCGGTGAAATGGTACGCTCCTGAGTGTATAAACTACTTCAAGTTCTCATCCAAAAGTGACGTGTGGAGCTTCGGCGTGCTCATGTGGGAGGCCTTTTCCTATGGCCAAAAACCATACAAGGTTTGATGAATCAGTCTAATCAGTCTGAGTCAGGATGACAGATCACTTGCTCACATCTTACACACATAGTTTAAACACAAGCAGGTCATTGTAGCCACCTGCATGTTTAAATTACAGCTGGTTTTAGTTTGTTTTCTATACTTTATATC